CGTGATCTTTGAACTGTGTCCTGGACCAGTGGTTCACAAACTTCTAGTGTACATCAGAATCACCTGGATGCCTTGGTAAAACACAGATTGCTGGACCCTGTGTCCAAAGTTTCTGATTCAGTAGGTCTGGGATGAGTCCTATATTTTTAACAAATTTCTGGGTGACACTGATGTTCTTTGTCAGGAGACAACACTTTAGGAACCACTGTCCTAGATTATGGTTCTCAGCTTTGGCACTATGTTAGAATCACTTATGGAGCTTTAAAAATATGTATCTTTGCCTAGGCCTCATCCCTAGAGATTTTAGTGGATAGGTCTGCTGTAAGACCCAGGCGTCGGCATTTTTTTAAAGCCCTACAAATGATACTGACGTGTAGCCAGGAATGAGGACAACTGTCTTAGATTGCTGGTTCCTAACTGTGTATATCCTAGCCTGACACTGAATCAGCAAAGTAGAGAAAAAAAAAGTATTACTCAATTGCCTGCTGGTGGATATATAACAGAAATATAAGATCTCTTTCTTCTAAAGCTGGGTAGACTAATATGTGTAGAAGAATTAGAGCAGTGGTTTTTAATCCTGGATGTAAATTAAAATTACCTGGGATGATTTTAAAAACTATAAATGCCCTGACTTTACTCCTAGAGGTTGTGATTTAATTTGTTTAGGGTGAAGACCAAACATCTGTACATTTTAAAATTCCTCAGGAGACTCTAATCTGTAGCCAGCATTGACAACTAGTGAATTTGGAAGTAACTAAGTGCTTCATATTATATATCAGTGAAATAGGAATTTGAAGAAAGGGGAAGTCCTGTATTTCTACAGACTTACCAGTGTTAAATTTTAAAGGAATTATTATGTACAGCTATGCTAGATAAGCAGTACAAAGAGATGACCCAGGTAATCATCTTATAATTCCCTGACTCTTTCTTTGTTAATCAGTGAATGGTTTTATAGGATAAGGCTGTATTCTGGCAGAACAGCCTCACTCTGATTGAGTGGGAGTGGGAGTGATGAGATTTTATCTTGTGTACAGCATCTATATAGTATATAATTATTAAAGCCTAGAAATACATTAGAGGAATAGTAACTTTTCATCAATCCCAACTTCAATAACAGGTAATTTCTTTTCTTTCCTTTCCTACCCATCCTCCTGACTTAGGGAGAACCTTCAGAAACTGCCCCAATTGGCTGCCATTCACCACAACAACTGTATGTTCCTTGCTCACCACTTGCTGACCCTTGGACATCAATTTGCATCACGTCTTGCCCCCATTCTTTGTGATGGCACTACTACCTTTGTGGATCTTGTACCTGGCTTCAGGAGACTTGGTAACTGATACTTTTAGGAAAATACGTTGATTATACAATCTCTCAGCCTAGTATCTTTGTAATTTATGAGTGAGGAGGTTAGAAGTGTGGTGGTCCTGAGCTGTACCAGAGGAGGGGTGGGCGTTTAGTTTGCAGGGTTCCCAGTTGTTTAATTTTATACCGTGCATGCAGTCTTTGTGGAAGCATTACTTTTTCAAGACGTGATCTCATGGTACATTATGGTTCCAGACTGCATTGCTGGTGTGCAGTGACTTCAGCAGAGCAGAGTTATGTTAGTGGAATAACATATGATAAGATTTGTATCTTGTGACAGTTGTGTTAGCATAGTTGGTAAGAGCACGCTGATATCCGTGCTTGTTCTTTTGCTAAACCCTAAGACAGCGCCCACTGCCCCAGCTTTACTTGGGATTATCAAAATCAAAAGAAACAAAACGTGGGTTAAATCATTATGTTTACTATAATGATAGCCTAAGAAAAGCAGAGGATCTATATGGTTCACTTAGCTTTTCAATTCCTCACTTTTCTCTTAGGTGGTGCAGATACATCAGAACAATAAGTAGCTGCTTCTATATAAGTAGTTTTTCTTAGCTAACGACTCTGGGAAAGAGTTATTTATTATCCTGAGGCTGAGGATGGAGGGACTGGCTAATGTATTAGAAGAGATTGTTTCTAGTAACCTAAAGGGCAGCTTTATGATGTTACCTAGCAGTTGTTTTCTTATGCTTGTCTCTCCTCTTCCATCCTGGTTTTGCAATATGTAATTGAACAGCTTTTAGAATTCTTTATTCTGTTTTCCCATCATAGGAACAGAGTGTTTTTTGGCCCAAATGCGGGCACAGAAAGGAGAACTTCTGGAGAGATTATCAAGTGCTAGGAACTTTTTAAACATGGACGATGAAGAGAATTATTCTGCAGCAAGCAAAGCAATCCGGCAGGTGGGAGGCTGTTGCTAGCTCTGGAATTTGTACTCTATCCTTAAATACCCTCTTTTTTTTTTTTTAAAGCAAGAAAGAGTATGTAAAAGGTAACTCAGTTGATTCCCCACAACCCCCACTGGAAATCTGGATTCCTTTTACAGTCATGTAATAGACTTTTCTTTTCCCTTTCCCACCAAGTCAACAGAAGCTATCTTTCCATCTACCCAATAGTATGACTAGTTATCTAGTAAGTTTGTCATAGCAAGTAATTTACTCATGAACTTGGGCTTGGGAAATTTAAAATATTAGCTTTCACCTTAATGCCCTTCTCTCGTAAGTACTTTGTCTTTTCCTGTCCCCAGGGTGAGTCTAGTTTTCAGCTAGCAGGGATATCACTAAAATTAGATATTCAAGAAGCATATCATCCTGATTACTTACTTTAGATTATTCCACATAATGCCTCTTCCCCTAACACGCAAACGAATGATAAATGTAAATCTGCAATATACAAGTTACAACTATCTCTTTCTCATGTAAATATCCACATTCTTCTAACAGGTACTGCACCAACTAAAGAGACTTGGAATTGTGTGGCAGGATGTCCTGCCGGTGAATATATATTGCAAGGCTATGGGGACTTTACTCAATACAGCAATATCTGAGATCATTGGCAGAATCACTGCCCTAGAGGTAAGGGTCATTAGGTGCCTCATCAGACTTCAGATGCAATTCTTGTGTCTGATTATTACTTTAGTTAGAGAGTGAAGTTAAAGGCTCACTTTTAGTCAAAACAGATGGTGGAAGTTGTATATGTTCATGCATAGCTTATCTTGTTGTTATTTTTTTTCAGTTTTGTTTTAATTCTATTTTGCTGGAATCATGGCAGTTTCTACCTTTTATACCTATATAAGAAAGTGAGATTGATTGTCCTGTTTCTCAGCCTAGCATCTTTGTAAATTATGAAGGGAGAGGTTGGAAGCTGGGCAGTGGTCCTGAGATGTATTGTAAAGTATGAAGTCATTTAATTTGCAAGTGAACGCAGCCATTTAATTTAGTAAGGTGAATGCAGCCTTGTGCAGGTACCCCTTTTCCAACACGCTGTTGCAGTTGGTGTTAGATGTGTGATCCTATGGGAGAATTGCCTGGACTCTGCCAGCTGATGCCTTTAAAGCACAGATTGCCTAAACCCTTATTTGTAATAACATCCCCTGCCTTGCAGCAAGTTGTGCCACATTCTACTGGAGAAGTGGGCTCTTTGAAGCAGGCAAACTAAACTACTGACAATTTGTTGGAACATATTTTGTGTCATTCTAGCTTTAGGAGTATTGTCAGAGAGCTGATGAAATCTAGTGTCTAGAAAGGTGTGCTAAATTGTTTGGAAACATATTGCTTTAGTTGACCTACCTGGACAGCATGCACCAAAGATTTCCCCTTTCCCTACCACTAAGCTGGCCCATTTCTCTTCTGCTATGTTCCGTTTATGCAAAACCAGGACATCTCCACGGAAGATGGGGATAGATTGTATTCCTTATGCAAAACAGTTATGGATGAAGGACCTCAAGTGTTTGCCCCTCTATCTGAAGAAAGCAAGAACAAGAAATACCAAGAAGAGGTTCCAGTCTTTGTGCCCAAATGGATGTCTTTCAAAGAACTGATGATGATGCTACAAGCCAGCCTGCAAGAAATTGGGGATCGGTGCGTATGTAACCCCTTTGTAGAGGTGTATCTCTCTCCACAGCTACGAAAGAGGGGCAGTGCTGTTGGTGGCTGTGCTTTCCTCTGTTTCTTAATATTACTCAGGAAAAAATTTCTTATTAAGTAGCAGTAGTTGGGGCCTTTCCATGGTCTATCATGGTGAGGATCTCATTACCATTTTCTCACAGCTGATAAGATAAAGACTTCTCGTTTTATGTTATCTTGGTCTGGAACATGTTTTGGCATGCTGTACACATGATCTGACATTTGTGAGAAGTACAACCTTCTGACCCCTGGATGGAAATTGTTGCCCACTTTTTAGAATGGCTTTGAGATGTTCACAGAGAAGTTAGTTGTGCTCTATGAAGTGATAACCATCTGCTGTTGTTTGATTGAGCAGCTGTTTTTCTACAAGGAGTGAATGGCTTTAGAGATCAAGCGCTATTCACCGAGAAAGGGTTCATCTTTTCTTAAATACAGTGGGTGATGTTTCCTCCTGGCACCATCGGTTAATGTCACTGTGCTCAGTCAGTGTGTGCTGTATCGTATCATACTGAGTATCAGGAGGTCATTGATATTGCACAAAGCAGAACAGATGTGGGTTAGTTACACATCCATGAACACTTTCATTATTGCCTTGGTAGATTATTGACGAGTATGTATACCTTGCATAGGGACTTCTGTCATCAGAGCACAGTGTATATGTTGAGAAAAGTCAATTTTATTTTGCATAGGCCTTTAAGGCCCATCTCCATTCCTGCAGCTACTTGTCTATTTGCTTTAGCTTGGTTTAGTACAGGTGCCAGTCAGCCTAGATGTGTCTGAGTTGTTCTCATCAAATATTGTCCATTTTTTTCTCAAAACAATGCAGATGAGATTTCTACTTGAAAAAAAACCCATCAAAATATCTCTAATGACATTTAGTACAAAGTTTTAATTTAGTCATTTGTTATTTACAAGTTCTTAGTGGGTAAGAGAGGTATCTTTAGGTAACAGGCTCCAGAGGACTGAAGATAAGAATTTTTCTTTCTGCTTAAAGGGTCTTCTTAGCAGCCTAAGAATGATCTGAAAGATTATAAAGTGGCTATGCCCTCAGCTTCTTCTTTCTGCTTAGGAAGATTCCCCCCGCACCCTGAGATTTCAGTAAATATAAGTAAATAAATAAATAAAATATTTTACTGAAGAAATGACCTCCAGCTGTGTGTAGTTTAAATATTTTAAAACTGTCAAATATATGTATGAAAGAGTACAGTATGTATAGTATATATACACAGTTTAAAGAAAAAGAATAAAATAAATGTCCATGTACCTACTACTAGCTTAAGAAAAACAGTATTACCAGGACCTTTGAAGATGCCTATGTGCCCCTCTCCTAATGCTCCCCACCAGAGGTAACCACTATCTTGAATTTTGTGGTATTTATTTCCTTGCTTTTCTTTACAATTTTACCACGTTTACAGGTAAATGTACATATGATAATGTACATACATGTCCCTAAACAATATAAAGTTTAGACTTGCCTGTTTTTGAACATTCTGTAAATAAACTCTTTTGTAACTTGCTTGTTTTGTTCAATATTATGTTTTTGAAACTCTTTTATAATGATTTATGTAGCTGTGGTTCATTTTCATGGCTGCATTATATTCCACTGTACAAATATTTCATAGTTTATTTATCCTGTGGCATCACATTCTCACCAGTATTTGGTATTATTAGACTAAAATTTTTGCTAATGTAGTTGGTGTGAAATGGTAGCTTGTTGTAATTTTAACTTGCATTTCCTCAAATTCGAATGAGGTTGAGTATTTTTTTTGTTGGTCATTCATGTTTCTTCTTTTGTAAAATCCCTGTTCATATTTTTTGCCCTTTATTCTACTGGATTGTTTGTTGTTTCATTATTGATTTATGGGAGTTCTTTATGTATTTTTTATACCATTCCTTTTTCAGTTATAAGTGTTTCCTGTGGTTCGGTTTTTAAAGTAGTTATAGAGCCCAAGGCATGAGGATGTGGTCATAATTATCAGGCTCAGACAGGGCTTAGTGAGTATAGAATTGAGAGAGAACAGTTTCATCTTCCTAACCAGGTCTCCTCCTCTATCTGTTCTGATACCAATGCAGTCTATAAGCAGAAGAGATCAAAGGTATTGAAGGGAGGCCCATGAGGATTAAGGATGCCCTGACTTCCTATTACCATTTAAAACAAATAAACATTTGGGATCAAATAAGCAATTTTTAAATCTTGTTTATACTTCAGACATGTAATAGGAAATAAAATTTTATCTTTTGTTTTGCAGGTGGGCAGATGGAAAAGGGCCCCTAGCAGCTGCATTCTCCTCTAGTGAAGTGAAAGCTTTAATTCGTTCCTTGTTCCAGAACACAGAAAGAAGAGCAGCTGCCCTTGCTAAGATTAAATAGTTTCATCTGAGAAAGCCATGTCTCGACTATGTGGATTCCTCTTTTGGGATATTCACTTCTTTATAGACTTCTTGGAATCATCCATTGGTTTTGGTTAACCAGTATATCATGGGAAGTTTGACTTTATATAAGAACACCTTACCTCCTGGCCTGCACGAGGCTTTATTACAGAACTGGATGTTGAGATAAGATGTGGAGTGAAGCACCTCAATTTGTTGACTTTGTAGCCACCCTCCATTAATAAGAAACTGTACAGCAGCAATATTTCATGCTGCTTCCATGGCCATCTGGGAAATGTATACCTTGTAAAATGTAGGCCCTGGCCTCGAACCAAGGAATCCAGGAGATTTCAAGAGTCAGGGTAAAGAATTTGTGAGCAAATGTGAGATATTTTTGGTGGAGTAGGAGCACCATATTTTGCCTTGCAGGAATCAAGGAGACTTCCTGTAATATTTCTTTGTAATAAATAATGCTTTTCAGAGTTAAGAGGTGAGTGTCTTTAATAACATGGGAGCTTTGACAAAAG